AAAGAGATGATGTTATGTCTTCTGTTTTTCACTGCCATTTAAAAAATGGGTTTCACTGAATTTAGGTTTCAACAAAAACTACTGAGCAATTATTTGACACTGTAATAATATTATTAGAGTTCAATTAAAAAAATATTATTGGATTTTGTTATGTTTCATTAATTTTATTTGCATATATTTTATTTGCATATTTATATTTTTATAATAAGAATTCTTCATAAATTATATATAATCACAGATTCATAGATAATAATGGATTTGAAATATATAACCATGTTGGTACACATATACTCATATTTGATGCGTATATATATATATATATATATATAAATTATTTTCTATTATATTATTATATGCACGAGTTAATACTATTTACATTAACAATCAATGTAAATATTTAATTGTTGAAATAATGAATCCCATTTTATACACATTACTATGAGCCACCAACTTAAAGTGCCAATTGTCACTCTACCAACGTAGAGTTAAGAGCACGAGTAATCCAAATCAGAACACTAAAATCGCATTAAATAAATCACGTAGTGTCTAAAATCAAACACATCACTTCCAAATCATTCTTTCAATGCAATCAAGAGTATATCTGTCGACAGTCCACCATTACATCAAATATCTTAGAAACATCATTTAAAGCTCAACATAATCTGTACTCTGGAAATCAACATCTAAGCTTTCGCTCTTACCAGAACATAACTTAAAGGTATTTCTGGGACTAGATTGAAGATTGAAGATGATTGAAAGAGGATATTCATATAAATTGATATTCCATGTTACCTGAGATTGACATGTGAACTAAAAAAGGTTGGCCAGGTGGACTTGATAAAAGCTAACATTAATGGCCTACAAGCATTCCTAAACCTCACGGATTGGACAGAACTGAGCTGTCTACAAAGAAATAATAAGATAGTTGGCAACAATGATGTGCCATTAAAATGCTTGGAAAGTGGTAATTGAATTCATGAATTGAGCCACTATTTGAAATAACCAACCTACTAACCAAGGGTTTATTTACATCACAGGGTCGTATATTATATTATTGTACCAAATACGAACTACGAACTTAGCATTTTTTTCTATTTTTCGAAAACTATATACAACTTTTGAGATAGATTAAGCTGATCGACTTTGATTTCCCGGGCGCGACATTTGATTACATTACCTAGCAATAATATTTCGTAGGGAAAATGATTTCGTAGTCCTTATTTGTCTCTACGGATTAAGTGACATATAGCAAAAATTGCCATTAAAGATATTCTAGTATCATTTTACAATACAGATCCTTTAGCAACCACTGAACATTGTACAATTAAAAAACTTTTGGCTCTTGGCTCGAACAGCTGAATTTAAGACATAGGTGTCTAAGGTTTCAGAAGGATTATGCCACAAACTACAGAGCACGGACCGTCTTGGTTTTGGTGAGTGAAAAATTGCACTTTTGTGCACTTTTGTGATATATGTTGACGATCAAGATCATATAGTTAATCACCACATGATATGTGTTTTGTTGAATTATACAAAGAATCGTATTTATGCGCACTTTTCTGAAACTCTCGCCCAATCCGTCAAGCTATGCCGAGCTATCTCGTCTATATCTCTATATTCCGCGTTGATCAAAACTGCAATTACAAGCGTGTTTTACATTTACTTTTGAAAGCAAATAATGGATAATCCATTACATTTAGTCTTTTAGCTGTATATAGAAATTTATTTTAATAAGTTTTTGAAATAACTCAGATTTTTTAATACATTAAAATTTCTTTATTAATTAATAAATAAAATTATTAATAATATTAAAACTCAAATAGTTTTTTTTTAAATGTTTTATGTATCATTCTCATATATTACTCATTTTCATCTCTATTACTAATGTCTCGTCAGTAAGTTTTTTTAATACTCTCCAAAATCTAAAGAGAAATTTGCACGTCCCCACAAAACACCATTGCAAGTCCATTGAGTATCTAATAAATATTCACCGAATGGAAAGGGCAAAACAACAGATGCATTATTCACAACAAATTTGTTTACCCAGACGTCATGCTATTTTTTAAGAGTCATAATATATATATATATAAATTGCAGTTTGATATTAAATTAATATAATTTACATTAAAGGGACACGTGTGATTCACGTTGGTGTATTCTTCAATTATATGATAGAACCAAGCGAGTACGGGAAACTTCTTACGCGTCTTCATAAAAAGGCAGCCGTCGACGTTCAGATCGTAAAGAAATGGTTTCCAACCGCTTGCCCGTTTAAACAGCCTAAGTTTAAGCTATTCGAAAAAATAAAAATAATTTTTTAATTATTTTATTAAGCAATAGAAAATACTTAAAGCCTTACCTCGACCGATCTAATAACTTCATATATATTCACATATAGTGAAAGCGTGTTCTGCTTTCTGGAGTAGGTATCCAGTCGGCATAGTTTTATCACAGCTTTGGACTTATTAAAACTTTCGCACTGTATATTTTTGAATTTTTGATAAACGGGCTCAACCGAATTAAATTGGAAAATGGACTGGATTAGAAAAAAGTATATAAAATAAATGGTTTTTCTATTCCTCTCTGGTTTCATGTTATTAATGTTGCAGGTAATGTTCTCAATGAGATATTATTTCTAAACAAAGTGCTATTAAGCATCAAATATTTATTGATTTCATAATTACTCGCCTCAATTTAAAAAAATTATTATCTCTTTGATGATCTGTGCCTATTTTTTTCATTCACATTACAGTTAATATACAACAGTAATTATAAAGTAGTTTGTTATTTCAGTAGTTTGCAGTGTGATATTGCAGTGTGTGTACCCATATAAAACAACATGGCACAAATAACTTTGGTCATATGACTACGGCTTACAAACAAGAAATCGGAAATATCCAAAAATACTGCTAAGAGTTTTTTATGGATAATAATAATTTGATTACTAAGTCTGTAGAAGTACTTACTGAGTGTTTATATAATAGTATTGGACAGTGTAACCGTACTAATATTTTATAAAGGAAATCAGCAAAATATATACGTACCGTCAACCGTCCTAGTATACCGTCTAATGGAATCCAATAGTAAAATAAAAGCCTGTACCATGACTAGAAAAAATAATACATAATTTCATTTTAATTTTAATAAGTATATTATTTTTAATTATTTTAATTAAAATATCTGATATAGTATACTATATATCAACAGAATATGCGTATCAAATTAATTTTACCTGTTTTTGAAAATACTTACATATTAAGTTCATTCCAATGAACACCAAACCCATCAAATCAATAAGAGGACATAATTATCGATAATCTCTTGAAAATAAAACTATTATAGTTTATCAATTATTATAATCACACAAATGTATAATAATTGGATAACGAGTGTATAAATTTCAATTTGAGGCTTGAAATTATTCCAAAAAAATTCAGCACTCAATACTAAAAGTAACAAAATGCTAGTCGGTTCGCTGATGGGATTAATTTTAGTATTTGTATTCAGCACAATACTAACAATTTACCAGCCCTCAAATGGGCTTGAGGTCAAATTTAGAAGCCTCAATTGTGAGTCCTATAATCGCTCGAAATTACAAGTTAAATTCTGTCGGATTGAGGCACTTTCGCGCATATTTAATGCCATTTCTAGTCAAATCATTGTGAAAGAAACCGTGGAAGAAGTTATTGTAAGTACGAACCATTATGGATGTTTCATATTCCAGATCATTTAAAATTACATTTCATAGCTTAGACTAAGTCTTTTCAAACGTGCCAATGGTTGGAGACCATTTCTCTATGACTTTACCGTGGATGCTTGTAAATTCTTGGCCAAACGAAAAAGCTATCCCGTTGTATCTTGGTTTTTTGGAGTGGTGGAAAAATTTACAAATGTGAATCATACTTGTCCATTTGATGTAAGTTTAAAATAATAATAATCTCTTATTATTCCAAATTAATTTTTTTTTTACTTTAGCATGATATACTTGTAAATAAATTTGTTCTCTCAAACTCCACCATTCAATTACCTTTTCCATTTGGCGAATATAGAGTGAACCTGCTCTTCACCATTAATAGAGAGAAGACGTTGGGAGCTAATTTTTCTATTCAATTTTCACAATTCTGATCTTATGATTTGATAAAACAATTTTATTTTGTTAATTATAAATGTAAATATAATATAAATCGATGGTTCTTTATTGGTTGTTGTATATGATCTATAGGTATCTTGGCAGACTAACTGGAATACAGAAATCTAAATTCAAAGTAAATTCTAAACCATTATTAGCGATTTTGTATTTGTGGTACCATTTCCTATGGTACGGTCAAACATCGAACATAAGTGATCTTCTTTTCTACTAAGATTCAGTAACTTATGCTTATACCTCTCTTCAAAAAAAATTTCATCTTTTAACGTTAAAAGTATTCTTATTAAAAATAAAACTCAAATTAATATATTGAAATTAGATTAGTCTGATTGGCCGTTATCCATGCATAGACCTATTGGTCTCTAACGATTAAAGATAGATCTAAACTCTATTTATACGGTATAGTAGGCATTTTTGTAACGCCAAAGAATACTTGAAACTTATTCCTGAGATCAATAAATATCACTATTATTAGACATCACTATTGTGGGACTTGAACCCAAACTCTATGTTCTGTAGTTCTAAAAGACCTACACCATTTTATCAATTTGGTCTAATATATGTCACAATATATGTCACAATTTAATATTATTTGTTAGAGTTATAACATATTTTACAACAACTTTCTGCATTTAATTGCGGCTCGCGAAATATTTACAAAAATGTGAACCCTGGAAGAGTTTTTGTTCGCTTTTGAAGAAATCCATTTCTAGATTTTAATAAATTTTAAAATATTTCTATAATAAACTTCAACTTATTTTCGGAATATTTTATTTTTAAAATTTTATTGAACAGTCAAATAAATACTTCACTTTACATCTATAGTTAAAAATATATATATGTATATATTTATTCATTCCTTCCAATATATGCAAGAGCCATTAACACGTAGGAGCATGCGATTATTGATAACCCATTGTGTGTCTAGAGCATATTCTCCTAAAGGAAATGGTAATTTGACTGTTCCATTCAGTATGGTCAGCTTATCGATAAGTACATCATGCTAAAAAATAGTTTTTTATCAAGAAATCGAATAAAAAAAGTTATTATACTATTAATAAAATATAATTACTATATACTATAGTAATAAAATAAAAAAGAGTATTAGAGTAAAAGTTGAATGCAAGCCTTAATTGAATTCCCTGAACTCACATCATAAGGACACGCATGATTTATATTTGAGAATTCCTTTAGAAATTGATAGAAGAGATTGGCTACTGGATTTCTAGCTGGATTTCGTATAAACTGACAGCCATCCACGTTGATATCATACAAAAATGGTTTCCAACCATTAGCACGTTTTAAAAGAGAAACGCGTACCTAAAGAAGCATACATAATATTATTACCTTGAAAGCTTTCACTAAATTCTGGGATTTGTTGACAAACCTTAACTTTCCTAACCACCTCTTTAAGATTAATAAATATGGTTATATAGTTATAATCACGACTAACTGCCTTTATATAGCACTTCTTAAATTCCAGGGCCTGTTTGTCAAAGGTCTCACAATGCAGGTTTGTGAATTTGCAGTGTGCCGCTACCTTCAAATGGAATTAGTTGTTAAAAAAGTTTTTAATTGGTTCCTTATAACTATATCACTTGATGTCATAACTACTTACTAGTTTTATGTTGGGCATGATAACAATTATATTTAGATAGAGTATTAGCAACATTTCATATCTTTTCCTTTGCCGAATGCTCCTACTTGTGGTTTCCATAGTTTCCTCAGAGTTTGACTATTTTCTCTAAAAAATTGATTACATGTCATTCAGTTAGGTAGAAAACACGTAACTAAAAGTAAAAACTATTTGAAAAATAAAGCAATTTATTTACTTAATTAACAAAATCGAAAATAACTCATTTTAATTAGAATAATTTATTTCACATTAACTGGATGAACGATTCGTACGAATTGTGATAGAATGAAATGCTTCATACGCGGCGTCACAGCTCTCTTACGCATTGTATTTTTAGTTTGAAATAAAAAGCATATATGTATATAAAAAGCATATAGATAATTAGAAGATTAATATGTGGATTGCATTCCAATAATCCCTAATTCGGTATTAGTAGGTCTTAAGAAAGAAGTTTTTTACCTCCTAATAATTATTCA